GGGATCAATCAAGATGTGAGTTGCGACTTTTGAAACCCAAGTCTCCATACATTTCCACCTCACTTGCCCACATTTGGTAATGCTGAAATGATGCACTGTGCCAAGTATTTTAAACCAATTTATGGATTTACGATACATGACCTTCGTCTGCCACCCCTCCTGGACTGCAGTTTAGCCACAACAGGCGAAACCTTTTACAAAATAAAAATTCAATGGTGTTTATCAGGTTAATGTGAAATCCAGATGGTATGGATACACCAAGAGGTGGTCGTAAAAATACGCATCGGGTTCAGTAGTTGAAAATTGACATCACCACCACCACTTGTACTGTTTGGTGATGCTGATTAATGACGTTTTGAATTATGATAGCTAAGGTGAGGTGCATCAGAATACACTACAACCAACTCAGAAAATAAACGATATGCCACAGTGTTGTGATAATTCGCTTCGGATGAACATTTTTGTAAATTATAATATATTCATATTCAACTTTTCGACGCAAAAATTTAAGCGATGCAGTTTTTTTCGAGAGAATGGTATGAAGATGGTATGGGAATGGATTATTTTGGGAAAGGTCGAAAGCACTACTTTGTTCCTTTAATGTAACTGCTAAACTTTTACATTTTGATGCGAATAATCTCCACCGATGATATGCCATTGCGTGTGAGTTCATGACAGATTAACCTGTGCACTTGTTCTAGCATGCTTTACATCTTCAGTCACCATAAATGCTGATCGACATGTATAAATAATTAGACTAAGATGTGCCATAATCAATTGTTTCGAGGTCATCAGTGCAAGTGTAGAGTCGCATTTATCGAATTCATGGAAGGTAGATTAAGGTGTATTTACGAATTTTTAGACCCTTGCTCATCAGCAGTTTCATTTCCTTAAGGTATTTGCGAGAAAACTAAAACTCATATGATGAAGTCGTATTGCATACTTCTTTCTTCCCCCACAATCTCCCAGCTGATAGCTAAATTGTTTGTGTGTGTTCTACCTCGGTGATTATCGCATAAGCCCAACGAGAGTGGCTCAGTAAAATGGCCTCCCAGTGGCGTCGTGAATGCGCAATCGAAGCGGCATTACGGTACTTTTTTCTTTTAACCTCACCTTTGACTCTAAATAAACGAGTACTTTCCACATACTAACGACATTGAGAGCTGAAATGTAGATTAGGCGTAGGCCTGCCCTTTAATGAAAAGAACAAAATTTGCACACCGACATCCAGCCTGCTTTCATTTGATAAAATATTCCTATGCCAAAGTCCCTATAAAGTGCTCCAGAGTATGCAATGGGTTGCAAAATTACTTTTTTAACAATACGTCAAAAGTTGGAGTTACTTCACACAAATGTTGATAACTTGGCTCCAAGTGAAATAATTGGTCAAAAAACCAACAGAAGAAGCCGAACTAACAAAAAATGCGGAGCTTATTTGAAGGCTGGATGCAGCACCCAAGGTCATGTAAACATACGATAGTCGATTCGAAGGTAGCACGGCCTCGAAATACAAACCCACACCATATGGCCATGATGATTGTGAGAATACAAATTATGGATCAAGAACCGTTGTATGTATCTTTCAAAACAGCGTTTATTAATTTGTTGCCTTTAACAGGCTTGGGGAAGAAAATTTTATCAAAATGCTCCTCTCATCGTCGTTTAATGCAATGGAGGCGACCTACAAACCTATGCATAGTGCCAACATTCCGGCTGTAGCAATGTTAGACCTTTTAATCATGCACTAAATGAGGTAGAATCGCTTTAAAGCGCCCATTGTTAGCGAAAATACAGTGAATTTCAACTTTTTGTTCTTAAGAATTTTGTACAACTTCACTCATCTTTGGGTCAGATCGGGTGGGAAAATGGTTATGCGGGGCTTTTGGTTTACTGTTTTGACGCTCCGTTCAGCTCTTAAACACCATCTAGGCAGCAGCCATAATTTTACCGAAATACATGCGCCATGGCCTGATTAACAGGATCTGCAGGTCAACCAAGCATGAACTTTAATGACCGCGGTAGTATCGCAGTCCCAATGAAGGCGAAAGCAGTAGGGCCACGGCCAGCCCTACTGTACAAACAAAGGCTGTTCGATGGTCTCCGAGGTCGGTTCATTTGTGGCCGGTGTAGCGTCGCAACAGGCAAACTGACGAGAAAAGAAAGGGATTTTGAAAGTGATGACAAATTAAGTTCAATTTTTGTCAGATCTCGATAGTTCAGCATGAGATTGCATGCTGACGACAACAACAAAGGAAATTTTTTTATTTTAAAAGCGAGAGCTTTACTGTGGTATGCTGTCGCGTTAAAATACGCATAAGATTATTTTGGATTATACAATTAATAACTCAATGAAATCCGTCTCATGCGTGTTAGTCTGGGACAAAGAAATACTATAACCCTGTTCGGGGATTTTGGGCTACTTTTTACTAAAAGTACACAAAAGAGGTGCGGAAATGAAGTGAATTGTTATCTATGGGAGTGCAATAACATTGGTAACTTTTTGTGAATATAAGCTTATTCGAACCTTACAGTTCCCCTACTGAGTGAAACTGAGTAAAATGTGTCTTGATATTTTCAAAAAGCAAGTTATTGCACAACTTAACCATGTGTTGATACAAAAGTAATTCTTTGTTTATGTGGCAACTTGAAGTCGCACCGTTACTTTGGAACGTCCATGCGCCCTTTGGCAAGCCTTCGGGTTAAGCATAGAAGTAAATGCTTTTCTCTCCTCAGAATACATGTGTAGCGTCCCGAGGCTTCCCTTAGGTGGAAGAAGGCATAAGTGAGTTTGAATACATGTATTCTGAAGACGACAGGACAAATGGGCCTGAGGCATGGCATGAAGGCCAACTAACTTGTATAGGGCCAGACAAAATCTAAAGTGACCGCCAAACGTCAAGTAGTCACATAAACAAAGCATTACAATATGTTCAGCTCCACTTAGCGCCTTCTTTCATCCAGTGAGAAGTCTCGGGACTCCACAACAAGAGTCAAGGATAGACTTGGTATAATGCGTACCTGAGGGGCAACAACGAAATCGAATGAACGAGGATTACGTGACTGTGGTGCCTCAGTGACTCAAAAAGAAGTGGTAAAACCCTGTTTCGTCTTTAAGTTCAGTAAGGATCCAACTTCCCTTTTTTGGAAATAAATGAATGAGTGGAAATTTCTCCAGACTTCTTAGGGCTTTCTTTACCTTTATTAAGCATACCGAGGGATTAAAAGCCAAGCCGATGAACAAAATGACAGTAAGGAATTGTATGTATCGGATCCTGGGATGATCCACCCGCAACTTGAGCACATCGTCTGAATTGGATCGCCGACCTACATACTCAAAGGCCATTGATAAAGCTTAGTAAGCATTGCAACATTTATGGAGCGCAAATAAGGGCAAAGATAAAGCCTCAATATAGCTCTTCACTTATAACAATGTAAAGGTCAATCAAAGATTTATCATTCGCCGCTGCGATAATTTGTTCACGTGACAACCTGTACGGTTGGTGGTTGCTCTTGCATTCACCTTGCTCATGTATAAGTATGCTGCCCTTCGGGCTAAACCAAAGCCCAATCTCCCCGTTTCCGCCAATGAATGCATGCACAGAGTTTAACTAGCTGCTTTCTTCTACCTAGTGGAGAGTATCAGAAGACTGAAGTCGGGAGGAGCTATTTTTGCACCTCAGAATTTCACTTCTGTGATTCGCTAATAGAGCTTGGATGACAATATACAATGCATACTTTAGTCATGGAAGACCTTACAGGGTAGAAATGCAAGCAGTAAACAACAGGTTCCATTACAAGCTTATTTAACATCAAAAAAGCATAGCTAAGCTTACCTTACTGCCTATGGAATGAAGTCACTTTTTGACGGCATCCTAAAATCATATTGAGTATAAGCATTCAAGCAATCTCTATGCTTTCCATTACTTTTTTTGCAAAGTCAGGAAGGACTTCAACTAGTGCTACAATTTGCAGGTCAAGCATAAATACTATAACTTACCTCACGAAAATATGTCAAGACCAAAAGCATGTTAACGCAGAGGGTATTTTGGTTTCTAAATCCTTCACCTAAGAATCAGCCTAATAAGGTATTCTCTGAGGACTTTCGCTAATAGATGGTAGAGTTTCCTCATTCAGGTAAGGAGGACAGAAAGTGAGAACGAGCGCATAATTTTGGTCACAACGAGCAGACTCTATGCTCTCAGAGAAGCGTTCAAGTTAAAGTTCTGCTTTCCATCTAAAGGTAACATTTTCACTGTAATGCACTGAATTAATATTTTCAACTGCACGTAGGATTGTCAGTACTGGGCATTTGTGAGCACTAAATCAGTTATCAACAAAAAATGCAACTTCTATAATTGTAACACTTTTTTATATGACCATCTGATATCTGGTGTTTATTTTAGGATTTGTCCGGTCCTCGTACACGTGGGCTATTCTTCGGGTTGACTTCAGGCTTAATCCCTTTATTCTCCATAGAATAACTGTGATCGGCTCCACTTAACGCCTTCTTCGCCTATGTGGAAAATCTCGGGACCGTACGGCGATGCTCTGTTTATGTGACCATCTGATGTCTAGCGGTTCATTTGGCATTCGTTCTGTTCATACACGCGACGTCTGACCTTTGGGCTATGCCAAGACGCTACACCTTCTTCTCTTAAAATGGATGTATTCGGCCATTCGTGATGCCTTTCCATATCTGGGGAGAAATTAAAAGCATCTCACCCAAGGGTGTTGAATTATCGAACTTTTTTCGTCATAACGTTTAGCCAAGCCTAAGATATACTTTTCCAATCAATAGCAGAAGTATCTAAAGATCATTTAGTTAATTACACCTTCTATAGTAATCCTTAAATTTATAAAAGATAATAGTTGTAAAGATACGCTTTTATTTTGTTTAAGTTTATTGTTTTTAAGTTTATTTGACCTCAACAAATACACAAAAGGTCCAATCATCACTGTATGTTTTTTGCGAGAATTTAACAATTTAATTAACAGTTTCCATGTCGGGCAAGCACGAGATTACTCCAAAGGTTAATTTTCCTGATATCGTTGAGGATGAGACTCCGACACACAAAAGGCATCTGACAGCTCGCTACGATAAAAAGACTCGGAGGCTGATGAAGGAAAAATTAAATTTAGAGGACTTCATATTTGCGGAGTTGCGAAAAGTATACCTGCGAGATGTATGTTACTTTCCTTGCAATTTAATTTAATACAGGATGATGATTGGGACTGCGAAATGGATGTTGATCAGCTTATCCGTCTAAACGAAAGTGAACGGCAAGCCTACATGGAGGTAATTTAAGAGTTTCAGCCAAATTTACATGCATTCAGGAACGATTATCAAACGCTCCTTCCACTGACGACGTCAAACATGTAAGTAGGACTTTATTACACAAATTTGGCAGTGTTTGCTCAATCCACTACATCACTTGTGGCTTGGATTTTCGATTTAACTGAACGTAGATTGCAAAGTCAATCACATTTTTGGATATTTGCGTCAAAGATGTTGCTGGAGAAGGTGGCTAGTTTACTTACCCATCTAACTCGCTTATAATGGCAGGATGAATAGTTTGTCCAACAAGTGCTTTGAGAACCTTGAACGTCCTTGCCAATGATTCTGAACCATGTTCGGGTCAACTTATCATTTACTTAGGCATCGGATAGCCCTTTACTTCCAGCATTTTACTTTTATTAACTCGGCATTAGGCGAGCCTTTGGTTTGGGTGTGAGTATTTCCTGATGCCTTATTTTCCCCTGTTTTCACCATTTCGAGTTGTGGACGAATTTGCGCGGGAGTTAAGCTTGTTTATGAATACTAGTGCTTCGTTTAGGGTTATAACACTTTTGGACATCCCTTACAATCCTACTAGCCTTATTTAGGTAATCTCAAAAATAGCTGAGTTATTTAATCAAGTGGTTGTATTACTGCAATATCCTAAAGTTTCCACAATATCTGCACTCTTGTCGCTAGCTCACGCAATGTAAACAACAACGCAATGAAGGCATAGAGCAGCCTTTACAAAAATCTTCTCTAAACACCCATTAAAAATCGCACTGTTTGGGTGCTAGCTGAAATTTTGACTGACAGGAATCCAATTTCGGAAATGAGTCTTGCAAAAAATACTGGATTCGGTATTTGCACACACCTACTTTACGACCAGAGTGCTGAATAACCAAGCTCATGTTTCAAACCTAATGGAATTATTTCTAAAGCACCGACTTGGTCAGTCGATTGAGGTGTTTCTTGACCAAACTTCATATAACCATGTACATTTGGATCACTTTATTTGAACTGAGAATTACACTGTTATCTAAGTGAGGTGTGCATATAGGATCAGGTTTTGGTCCGAAGTGACTGAAATATGTACATTCTCCTAGCGCTGATTGTTCTTGCACTTAATTAATTGCCCAAATGACTTTCCTCCTCCTTTCGCCCACCGTAATAGGCTGGCCCTGAGAGCGGCGTGACGTCCTGAGGTTGTCGCTCCGACAGGCACCCTAAGCTGCATGCCTTGAACAAACTAAAAGCTTTGTTAACTTCCCGCTAGACGTTTTTATGTACGTTCTGGGTCCCGGATCGAAACAATCTTGTATGCTACAATTTGGAGGCATTCGTGAGCGTAAAGAGTTGCTAGCGTCATTTAATTTCCTTACTTCGATTACCTTGGCAAGACTTTTTCTATTGAATTGTCTTTTGAAACAGGAAATGGGAAGGTCTAAAAGAAAATGACTTTCTTCCTTTGTGAGCTGTCAGAAGTGCAGTCAGCGACACCTGAGGACACTCACACTAGAATTCTCTATCCTCTTTAATTGTGAAAACCACTGTGTCTGTGATCCATTGCAAAGCTCTTCCATACAATTAAATCTTTTACGCACTACAGACAAGGCTTGGTTAGAACTTACTTTTGGAATTTAGCTACAGTCCTCCCGCTCCTTACCTTGTTTTGTCTACCTTCCGCGCTTATTTCCATCCTTATCAGTCTAGCGTCGAGTTTGCTGCTACCCAATATCACAAATATATCTTTAATCCCTAATGGCGGAAGGGTATAAAGGGTAGACTTCTGTACGCGTATTAGAGATTATTTGGGGTATTTGAGAAGCTAAAGCCAATCAAGTGCATCCAACGGTGGATAAAAATCAAGGATCATTACCATTTTTCACAATCAGACTTCTTTTTTGTCGTGAAAATAAAACTCCCAGATAGTTATAAATGTGTGGAGTGATGGAGGTTCTCGCTCATTTCTCGAGTTTAAAGGGGTTTTGTTTTATTTTCGATCCTCTGAAGATTGGCAAGTGTGTCTCAGTCCCTGTTTCAAAGGTCTGACTCTCACTTGCTAATCCCGCCAAGCCCACTTCAAGGCGGTGTAGTGATTCTCGGGTAGAACTTAAATCTCTCTCCTTGGTGTTGCGCCTTAGTCGGGCCGTGAGATCGCTGTTGCTGCGTATGCGGGAAGAGCAACAGGGCCGCATGCTTGTTCACCCAGAAGACGGGATTCATTTTGAGGCTTAGAGCCTCCCATTTTCAAAATGGACAGTCGACCCCCCCCTCCCCGAACCGCCTTTTTTAGCATTCAAAAGATGTGATTCACGAAACGAAATGATTTTCCTTGTCCCTCAGGATGAGTAAAATTCTGACTTGTTGAGAGATGCTTACGGAGGTCTGATCCTAACCGGTGGGATAGACAGCAATAGCACTCCTAATCCCATCGGTGACCACTTTAATGCTCTAAATCACACCTTTTAGCGACCCATTTGAAATGATGAGAAAATGGGGTGGGTCGATTAAGCTTCTTTACGCTTTGTTAATGTAGAAGTCGGAATTAAGAGTGAAAGAAATTAAAATGAGTAAAATCTATCTTCAAATGGATGGACAACCTTACCTTAGCATTCAGAAATAGGAATTACAAATTTCTTACATAAAATATAATTTTAATGCTCCATTTCATTTAGTTTACACGCATAGGCGTTCACATTTAATTAGGTCACTTCGTTTCTGACAATTTGTCAGTGAGGCATTCATCTGACAGGTTGATCCAATATGACATGCAAAGATTTTCTATCTGAACTATCACAACAAAGTCCACTTTTTTTGAAGAGGAAAAAATAATCGAAGCATTTACGGCAAATATCGGAAAACAAAACCTGAGTTCCTGCTAAAAGTACGGTCAGG